ACACCGGTTGCATAGTATACCTTTAAAAAAGGACTGAAATGTAGCTAAGTTAGCATATGATAGATACATTTAATATTGATTTAAAATTTTCGTTAAGAATTGGAAATTGGGGCTTGGTTGAAGACAAATGCATGCTAGACTTGTCACTAAACAAATCTTAAGGAGTATTTTCTTTCAACTTCACCATTACCCACCGATTGGTGTCGGCCACATAAATTCCAAATAAAATGTTTTATGTTTATAGTTGTGGCAAAATGCACAGAAGTCAACTTTTGTAAAGCACTGCAACCTTTTTCTTTGTATCCCAATAACGACAAACGTTGCAGAAAACATATTCAGTACCAAAAAAAAAAAAAAAAAATGTTATCATCCACATCCCAACGCCTCATTTAAATTCTGAAAACTCCAAAAACCAACTTTGCTTTCCTACAATTATTTTAATGTTCACACATTTTTGAATTCATCACTTGTGAGATTGAATGCAGTCTGTTAGCTGCTTCCTCTGGCCTGCAGGAATCCTATGAGGAAAAAAATGGCACACTGAGATGGCAGTTATCTAAACATTCACAAAGCCAGGGATTACTAAAGACACACAAACAGGATTTACATTTCTTAAAGCAATGGTGGAAGCGTGGGAAACACCACAAATGGAGTCGTGTATAAGCCGAAACACAACTTACTCTTATTATATGCTGAAAAAAAGGTCCTTATTGACTAGGATACGTGAGAAGTTAGTGTATTTCATCATTGAATTGGGAAGATAAAAAAAGCGAAGCTAAGAAATCAACAAAATATTAAAGTTTAAAAGGCACGGCATGCTGTCAAAGCACTGATCCTTGGAAAACCCATTTCAAGCCTCACTTGCTGGCCCATGTTAGGGAAATGAGAGCGTATACACAGATGGGTATGGATGGCATTTCTGCCGTAGCAAAACTAAACAACAAAAAAAAGAAATCTAGTTTATCATTTCTCTCTGCTAAAATGTTGATGAATAAAACAGCATACAATAAAAGTTGTCGTGTCAGGAAAGACATTTGAAGCAAACCATGAGTACAGAAAAAACCGGCCACTGATGAGAGGAACAATAATTCAGTTATGAGATATGGCAAACACCTACACTACAATATTTAGTCAGTATTTGTATTTGAGGCCAGCAGCAAACCACAATTTAAATAGAAATGGGACATTTTCTAAACGACTCAACATGATAGAAGGTCTAAATAGTAGACAGCAGCCCTTTTCCTACTTTGTGAACCGGTTTGCTCAACTATTAAAAAGCTCTTCCAGCCACCTTAAGTTCCTTTGATAAAAGGACCTAAGGTGAGACTCAGTTCGATTGAATTTGCAGAGCATGGCCGGACTTTGAGTAATTGTGGGGAGGGGGGGTTCAGCCGCTGTGGTTTAATGTGAAGAGAAAGCCAACACTGACCAAAAGCTTTGGATTACATCCAACTCTAGATACCTGCAAGCATCCTAGCTGGCTCGCCAAACTCCTCACTGTGTGAGTCAAGTTTTTAGGCTACTAAATCAAATGAATACACTAAATTTGTTTTTATAGATTTTTTTTTCTTCTATTACGAGAATAAAGTCGTAACATTATGAAAATAAAGTCCTAAAATTATGAGGATAAAGTCCTAAAATTACGAGAAACAAGTTGTATTTTATGAAAACTCTTTCCAAAAATGAGGAATGTCAAGAAACCTGAGTGTCAAACGTTTGTGCAGCAAAAATTTCCGTTTGTGCCGCTATCTTTTTTTTTTACAGTGTAAATATAAATTTTAAGTTGCTAACCTGTGATTACAGAATTATATAATCATAGGTTAGCAACTAATTTATATGAAATTCAGAGTTTCAGAATGAACAAATGTTCACTGACCTTTGATGGCTTCTACAAACAATTATTGATATCATTAAAATGATAGCAGTACAAAAAATTTATATATTTTCAAATATGCATTTTAAAATTTTTTATATATTTATTTAAAATATTTTATATTTAAAATTAATTTCAAAATTTTATGTTTTTGTATGGCAAAAATTTTAATTTGTACTGCTATCATTTCAATGATATTAATAGAATTATTTGACACCAATTTTGTCTAATTTGAAGAAGGTGGGCGGCTGGTTGACCTTTTGACCTTTACATTTTCATTAATATATTCAAAGCTAAAGAAGTACCAAAACCAATTTTTGCTGCACAAACCAGCACAAACGGAGCAGAGTTAATTGACACCCATTTTGTCTGATTTGACCTTTGATGACCTCTAGAAACATTTCTTTATATCTTTAAAATGGTAGCGGCACAAACGAAAATTTTTGCTGCACAAACCAGCACAAACGTTTGACACTAATTTGTCAAATTTGAAGAAGTTGGGGGGGCCAACTTCACTCAGGTTGTCAAGAATTATGTGAAGTTATAATTTGTTTCTGGTTTGACAAATAAGGAAATCTTTTAGTGGACTCAGGTTGCTGATTGGTGGAGCTGGTCTGACATCATCTGCTGGGCGGAGCTCCAAGCTTTCTTTCTGAAACGGGTTGTTAACTTTATTCTCGTAATATTACAACTTTTTTCTCTAATGTTACAACATTATTCTCAGAATTTTACAACTTTATTCTCGTAATATTACGACTTTATTCTCAAAATAATAAAAAATAAATAAATCTCTAGCCAGGCCCTAATACTCTGTCGTAAAAGGTAGCTTTTTTTGTACAATTAAATAAAAAGACCCCAATTTTATTTAATGTTTTAGCTTAAAATAAAAATAGGAATGATGAACATGATGAATTATGAGATGTTGTCGGCTGACTAAGTCACAGCTCACACAGCTCACACAGCTCTCCAGCGAGCCAGTTAGCTAGGCAACAAAAACATGCGGGAGCAGTTACCGTGTTGCCTGCTGAACTTTACCTGTTTCCCATTCACCAGAATTGTGGTGATGTGAGGAGCTATAGAGCTGGCAAACTTCTTGGTAATAGCAGCAGCATGCCGCACTGCCAGCCTGTAGTTTATTCAGATCACGTACCAGTTATTTTAATTAGTTGGAAAGTAGGGACAATGTGATTAAATGAGTTTCAGACAAAAAATAACAAATATATTTCAAACTTTTTTTTTTCTTCTCTGGAACAGATCTGTTTCATTAAACCATAAAGGCATTAAATGCTACTAAAAACATATTCAGTGGTTATGTTTTGGACACCTAAACATGATACAGTAGTTGGTGTTTCAGTGAGAATACCAGACCAAAGCTTTCTGCTTCCAGCTCGTCTGTAGATTCTCTCCAGTTCCTCCATCAGGTTCTCTGAAATCATAAATATGATCCAGTTCATAAATTATCCAGAACATATTTATTAGGAGCTAAAATAAAGGAAATCATAAAACATTAATAGCATTGAAACATTAAAACACCTAAATCCCACCTCCAGTTTTCATAGGCTGTTATGTTGTGGGTTTAGATGTTTTTCTGCTTCCAGACAAATTTATTCAAAGCAATTTAATCAACAATCTCTAGCAAAACTTTACATCATCGTCATCTTCCAGGTTTTTAGAAATGTTTGAAAGTTGCTCCTATGTTATATTGCATAAACACTTCTGAGTATAAAGAAAGCAATAGAAGAACTTTCCAGTCTGATTAATCCAGCAACAATAAAATTTAATCAAATATCTGTTGGACAGCGAGGAAAAAGTTTTTTTTATTTATAAAGTCAATGTATGTTGCTGGCTATGGAAGAGGATTAGGGCCATGAAAAAAAAAAAGTTCACTGATCTTTAAATTTTATTTCAGTTTAGTATGGTAAAAAAGTCAGAATTCTGATTTTTTTCTCAGAATTCTTACTTTAATCTGAGAATTCTGACTTTAATCTCAGAATTCTGACTTTAATCTCAGAATTCGGACTTTTTTCTCAGAATTCGGACTTTAATCTCAGAATTCTGACTTTTTTTTTATTGTCAGAATTCAGAGAAAAAAAGTCAGAATTTTGAGAAAAAAGTCCAAATTCTGACTTTAATCTAAGAATTCTGACTTTTTATTGTCAGAATTCAGTCAGACTTCTGACTTCTTTTTTTTTTTTCCAGTGGCCCTAATCCTCTTCCGTAGAAGGCTGTAGATGTGCTGAAGCGGACAGAATAGGGCCCTGAAACTGAAAGACTTCTTAGATTACTGTATAATTTCTCCCCTGTTGCTTTTCTAGACTCGGACTGACCGACTCCTTTGCAGTGAACATACCGTCTTTAGCCAGGAAGTCTGGTCCTTCTCTTCTAAGAAGGATGCTGGCAAGTTGGGCCTGACTGGCCAAGCAGCCAGAGTCCTGCAGAAAAACCCAGAGAATAAAGAAGATAAAACTGGCCTCACATGTAAAACTGATATTCATTAGGAAGAAAGATGAACAAATAATTAACTGCATTATACAATTGTTATAATAGGCAAAAGGAGAGGAGTAATCGTTAAAAAAAATGTCTCAATCATATCAGCATAGAAATACAATTATTTGATCCAAAGTTTAACATTTTATGAAGCTTTATTTGTTGCTTATTTTAAAGGGACACTAATTATCTGGGTCATTGTTCTGTTGAACCATCAGCTTACGTGAAACTTCTGCAGGATCTCATATGTGGGTTTGTTCTGCCACTCCTCCACACTGATCTCCGGCTGCTGCTCCAGGTCCGAGGCGTTGGGCGTGCTCGTCTGCCTCTTCACCTTCGAGTGCTTCGGCAGCTCCAGCTCCTCAAAGCTCTTAAACTCTGGAATCCTTTGCAAACAAAATGGACGGTAGATGTGGAAGATAGAGATGGAAAGTAGTTAGAAATCCCACATTCCAGCCTGCAGTTTATTCAGATCACGTACCAGTTATTTTAATTAGTTAGAAAGAGGGGACAATGTGATTAAATCAGTTTCAGAAAAAATATATTTCAAACTTTTTTTTTTTTTAAGACAGGATTTTTTTTAAAATAGAAATTTTCTAAATTTTGGGACAATTTCGTCTGATAAAGAGTAAATTTATATACATGTTTAAGCCAGAATGATTTGACATTTAAACATGATTTCCCTACGACTTTAACACTTAAACAAACCTATAGCCTATAGATAAAAACAAGATTTTAAGTATGGATGCAAATATCCCATCAAAAGCTTTTTGGTTTCAGATGAAACAGAGAAAAAGAAAAATAATAACCCGAGTTTTCACTTTTACTGCAATCTTGAGACCAAGAATAGAGATGAAAACAATCACATTTAACGAAGCGAGCATGAAGACGGGAGGGAAGCTCTTACTCTGCCTCATTGACGCGAAGGAAATCCAGCTGCTCCACAAATGCTCCTGATATCAGGGTCTATGAAGCAGATGGAAAAAAACACATTTACAGAAATTGTTCTGGTGATGTGACCCACCCCACCAAGAGAAATCGAAGCCATAGTGGATCCATAATGCTTTATGTGCCAGCATGAGGTTTGTCAGGTGATTCTGTAAACATGATTCTGATATAAATGCTGAGAAAAAAGAAACGAGGCCCCGCAGCAAGGTACAAACCGACATCACATCTCTATTCTTATAAAAATGCATTGCTCAAGTGACATAAAACCACGCTAGGAAAAACAGTTGGTGCTTCTCAAAAGGTGAATAAAATAATTTCCGTCCTCCTGAGGTCCAAATGTGATATTAACCATTCCAGCTGAAGTCAACTCAAAAACAAAACTAAGAGGCGCAGGAGAGGAGCAGTAGTGTTCTGCTCCCCATAACAATGAGACGATGAAGGGCAGAAGTGTTTCAAAGCCGTGAGAGTTAGCTGTGAACAGAATAGCAAATAGGCAACGGGAAGACAGAAATGCTAGAGCAAAAGAAAAAAAAGTAAAAAGGATAATTCTTTGCTGAGCATCACAAAAACACTCTGCTGGAGCCAGAAAGCTCATCAGGAGTTTGATGATAAGTTTAATTTAACAATATGGAAAGTATTTAGGAAAATATTTAGCAAATAAATAATTGTATTTTAAATTAAATGTAATTTTTAATAAATGTTGGCATCAGTAGTTTAATTATATATTCTAAAATAATTAGAGCAATGTACAACTGTATTACTCATGTTTCTCGCCAAAAACTCAATTTCCCTTTTCTTTACGTTACACTTGAACACATCATAACCTAATTGTCAATTTACTGAGCCAATCTGAACACATCATCACGCAGCATGTCTGAAACTTTATTTACTTTTCAAGCTAACTAGCTTGTATGCTGCCGATTACAACACGGATTTCACAATTACTATTTTTAACTGACCGGACAAGCTACAAAGTCTGTGCGCGCGCTAACCAGTGGTACTCTGAGTGGATGATGAAGGCGGGCCCGACTGTGGTGCGGCGGCAGCAGCAGGAGGAGGAGGAGGAGTCTTTTCAACCCGGAGACAGTGGAAGGTACTGCATTTGGCCTTTATTTGATGCACAATACTAATGTGCTTGGCCATTGAGGTTGTGTTCCCCCCTTTACAAGAGATGATTTTGCAACATAAGTTGCATTTCGCTTCTTCTTTATCTTTGAGCTTGGTAAAATGAAGCCAAACTTTAGACCTTTTCGTCCGTTCATTCATCCTCGAGTCGCGAGCGAAGTTAAGTGCCAGACTTCACTTGTTTTACTTTTAATATCTGTTTGCTTACAATTTCATTCCAAAACATTGGTGGACATGCTGCAGTGATTGGATTGATTAGATTTAAATGCTGTGACACGACTCGAGGGACACACAATTATGTTACAGGACCTCCGGGAGAAAAAAAACAAATGACCAGACTCTATAGTGGTATCGATAAGCCCAAACGTTATTGATTCTCAGGTTTTGAAAAAAGTGGAACCGGGTCCTTGATAGAACCGGGTTTCGATCCCCATCCCTACTGCTGTCACTGCAGCTGTTCACTCAATAAAGCAGATTCTAACATACCTGAAGTCTGTCGACGTGAACTTTGACCCCTCCGATGACTCCCTTCTTGAAAGAGGCCAGCATGTCCAAAACAGGATTGAAGCGGCTCCCTCTGGTTAGATGAGAAAATTGCAGTTAAAGCCCCCAATTAGACGTCCCCCTACATAGGTTGTCACCAGCAGAACAGTTTTTGTTAGTATTTGATATTTTACTTAAGTTACACTACATGTTTGTGGTGACATTAGATAGGGTACAGAAACAAGAGATTATATCTTCATACACTTATTTGTTTTCTTCCTGTTTTTTTCAATTTTTGTGTTTTATCAACTTTATTCCTTTGAAGGGTGTTTGAAGGAGTAATTCAGTACCGCTAGAGCAAACAGTTGACCTGTATGTGAGAACACTCAATGCATTTCTTGACAACGTTGCAACAATAAAACACTTCAAGATGAAAAAAAGGACCAGAGTTAAGATTTAAATATTAAAGATCCTTAGGGATCATTTCCAGCCAACTTTGTCTGGCTGATACGCTCAATAAAGACGATTATTTTGTGCCGAAGTTTCCTCACCATGCAGACATTATGACAAGTTGGTCCAATGATTGCAGCTACAGTCCAACCTTAACCAACATCCTTTCTGTCACTATCAAACGGAAGAAGGATTAAATATCTTTGCTAAACAAGAGGAACAAAGTTATTCGTATAAGCTAAAGTAGCATAGAAAATCACAATTTGTTTAAGTGGATACAAGCAGGATGCTACAACTACTCATTTTATAGGAGTTTAATTTGCAAAGGATATTTTTCTGATAGAACAATTTCACTTGGATTTAGACCAAAGTTCTGAAAGCCATTTGTATTTCATAGCTTGATGATAATCAGTAATTTTTCCTATACATGGTAGGGCTGAGCTGCTTGCAACTCAAATGATATTTGTGGCCTTTAAAGTGTTAATTGAAGCTGATCGACTCAGTTTTTGCACCTCATTATCTGTCCTCATTGGCCCAAACACACCAAACAGAAATTATCTGGGCTGTAAGGGATCTAAACAAGGGAGGTAATGTCTCTCCGTCTCCATTCGTGTATTAAGAAACTGGTGCAATGAGGCGACAGTCGTATACCCTCCCCCTCCTGCTGAGCGACTGGTAAAATTTGTGATTGTGAAAATTTGACTTCATACTTGCAGACATGCATTGAGTGGGATTTCGACCCCAAAAAGTCGAAAAATGTTTAACTTGTGTCGCTGTTGCCAATCAGTGAAGGTCGCACCGGCTGACCAGAGATAGCAGAGGGTCCTTCATACTGCAGCACCAATCCAGCTTCAACATGAAGCAAAAATATTTAAGCCATGTTTTACTTTCTGCTTTTATAAGTCACTTCACATATGCAGAAGTTTGCCCTGAACCGTTTTTCTAACTCAGGGTTCCTACAGCATAAGGCAAGTTAAATTCAAGACTTTTTAAAACTTTTTAAATGCCACTTGAAATAAAAATTTAAGACCAAATTCATATGAAACACAAGAAAAACCTGCTTGCGACAACTTAACCCAAAGGTTTATTTTAACATAAACCACTGCACTAATGTTTCAAATTTTGAAAAGCTTCCCATACAGGAAGAAAGCTAAAAACACACAAATGACAGATATATTTTAACAATTATTTAACTGAATTCACAAACTTTGTTTTAGCAGGGAACAAAACAAATCAGTTTTAAAGCCCCAACATAACCAGTGCTAAGTCTTTTTTGTGTTTTTTTGCAGCTATTTTTCTTTGTATGGTTTTCTTAGTATGTTTGATTTTGGTGATAAGTGGAGGCGTTGCAGAGACAAGGGTGGAACTAAACTGAGAAATACCGGCTGTTTCTCGGTAACTTGATTTTGTATTTCACGCTTCGCATGTGCGACTCCACTAACCTGACAATGCCAGATGGATTTGCTCCGCATATCCATCTGGAAACCTTCCGTAGAAGAAATTTTGGGAAGGGGCGAAAATACTGGTTAGCTGATTGGCCTATGTTGGTGATAGACGGGCCAAATAAACCAATCAGATCAACGAAGCATATGACGTACTAACAGAGCGACGACAAAGAGGAGCCAATTGATAGATCAAACTCTTGCCGAAACCAGTGGGGAGAAGAGCAAAAACATCTTTTCCTCTGAGAAAAGCCTCCAGAGCAGTGTTTTGCTCTTCTTTCAGTGAACAAATACTCTGTAACTCCGATAAAACTTGCTCGATAGCCACGCTAACGCTAGTTTCATCAGCTGAAGCTGCCATGTTCTTTAGACTGAACTGTCGCGCTTCTCGTTGCGTCACACCTCAACGTCAACGCTGATTGGACGTTCGTTTGGTGAACGGCTCCAAATTTTCTTTAACGGAGAGTCTCCAGACTGATCTGCGAGTGAAATCTTGAAAGCTCGCGAGATCAGGATGGTCTCACGAGGCTACGACTCCACTGCCTTAATTCCCATCGTTCCGAGCTTGAATGACTTCTTGCACTAAATCCACTGAGCCTCATGTATGTTCCCTGGTTTTAGCCATGGAGAAAACTCTTGGCTGGAGCCAATTTGCGTTACATTTACACTTGCTCATATTTTCCAGACAAAAAGTTAATGGCGCATCTCCCAAATGTCCCGGCCGCAACAAGGCTTTTATTGGTTCCGCTATCGGGACGGAACCAATAATGGCGAGCAATTATTAATTTTTTTATAAAAAAAAAAAAAAATTCAATTTTAACGTTTTATTTCTCAAAAAATATATATCACAAAAATAAATCGTAATAAAAATAATCCTATTTTTGATGTTTTAAAAATTAAGACCTACGAAAGACTGATTTAAGACATTTAATACCAATTAAGGCTTTAGTTTTATTTTGAAAAATTCAATGCCTTTTAAGACTTTTTAAGGACCCGCGGGAACCCTGTAATCAGTCATTGATGCCTTTGTTTTCCACGACCTGCTTTGGAAACGTCAGATTTCCTCCAATTTCATAACCAATTGAAGTGACCTGAAAGGACAATTCATAACCTCTGTGTTTGTTATGCCCATTAATAGATTTTTTTTAAAGCTTTGCATTTCGATAAGGGTAAATTTTATTTTATTTTTTTTTATATATACTCTAACAATCCCAGAGGGAATTTACTTCTCTGCATTTAAACCATCCCCTTGAGGAGCAGTGGGCTGCCATTGTGAGGCGCCCGGGGAGCGTTGTGAGGTTAAGGGTCTTGCTCAGGGTCTGTGGGAGTGGGGGAATCGAACTCACAATCTCAGGATTTAAAGCCCTATGCCCTAACCACTAGGCGGCCACTCCCCCCGGTAAACACACCACTGAATAGAAACTTTAAAGCCGATTGTTTAATCAGTTCCTTTCAAGAAAAGATGCGGTCGATTTCACAGTCTAAACAAAAACCGTATAAACCAGTAATCTAAAAATAAAATGCCTAAAACTTCCATATCATTCATTCAGATTTCTGTCACCTGCTGTATAGGTCATGGTCCCCTCGATGGCAGACTAATGACTATCGAGCTGCAGCTATGAACATCCACTGACTCATTTTTGGACTGGAGCGAGGCTGTTTAAACACTTGTAACGCATTTAACATATGGCTCCCTGGGTAACAGTCAATACCTCTGTAATCAGCCCACCAGCCAGGCTATAGTGATACAAATGAGACACATTATCACCCAATCAGCAGGCAAATACAGTAGCACCTTTCTGCTACAAAGATTAATGGCACACACAGAAAGGGAAAAAGGCTGGCAGCAGAGAGGGAGAAATAAATGTTAGATGAAAAACGTGAATTGGCTTCTCCAACGTTCTGGCGCAGGTTTGAGACGGTGGCAGATATAGAGATAGTGAGTGACACATAACGAGGCAGAGGATGAGAGAATGCTTTGAGAAAAATGATCACATGAAAAGAAAAACAACAGAAAAGATCTACGTTGGAGTGTGAGTGTGGATATTACTTGATGTTATCCTCGCGGATGAGAACCAGGAAGAGTGGACGTCCTTGCATCTTCCAGCACTGCTTGATGAACTGCAGGGCATTCTGCACGAACACAGAGCAACACATTCCTGCCGTAAAGCTTTCAATTTCCTTCATTTCTGTGTAACAACTGAGCGAGTGGCGTTTCTAAAGTTCGGCTTCCTCTTCTGTCAAGCTGGGTTTAAGTTGCAGAGCACCTCAGGCAGCTCAGCGTTAAAACCAAACCATGAGTTTGAAGAGGAAAGATCACAGTATGAGTTCTGAAAACACAGCTTACAGTATCCCTGGAGTCACATAAGCATGTTACCAATGAAAAGAAATATCTAACATTTGGAAAACAGATCAGAGTAAAAACCCCTTACCTGAAAACTGGAACGTGGGTATTTGTTCTTAAAATGAAGATTAGATAAGTTCTTAATTTATATATCATTACTAAATAAAGTTTTATTTTTTTTAGTTTAGTTAAGATCTCCATTTAAGTTGACTGACATCAAGAAGTAGACTACAATAATTAAATTTAAATTTGACGAACTTTTATTTCCGGGTGGATCATCAAAATAAGTGGTCCTCCTAATTGTCAATCATTCTGGTGATATGTTTACCTAAGGACGTCTTACGTGCTCGCCCCGTTAGCTAGCTTTTTCTGTGCATGCGCACTTTCAGACGTTTATCGGTTGTGAGCTACGGTTTCAGAGTCATTGAAGCTCACCTTTCTCACCGCGGTTCTTTGACAATAGCCGAGGGTCGTAAGAGAAAGAGTGACTACGAAGTGCATGAGAAGAAATTAAAGTTATAGGGAATTCATATATCTAAATGCCAAATCATTCTGGCTAAAACATGTACATAATAGTACTCTTAATCAGACGAAATTGTCCGAAAAAATAGAAAATTTCTATTCTAAAAAATCCTGTCTTGAAATCTGTGTTTTTTTCCGTCATCTTCTGCAGGCCAGTTAGTTCTACGTCAGCCTGAACACCTAAATTCGGCCAATCATATATCAACGGTCATCTGTAAATCAAATTTTTTCAGTCATAGCATCTTGATTCATATGTCGCAGTTAATATACGCAATGGTTGAAATAAATGAGAATCCTTTCCTTTCCCATTGAGTTGCGTCCCAGTGTTCACGGGGATGGACGTCTGTGTCTTCGGCAGGCGTAGAGCTAACAGAACTGGCAGCGTTGCGATGCAAGGGCTCAAAAATGTACGGCTGGAAGCCTTCTACACCAAACCAAACTTCTGCCGCCTTGGAGTCCTCTTCCACAACATCTTCGTCCCCGCTTTCCTCCTCTAAATAAAAAATGGATGACGGAGGAGACTCATCCACGACCTCCGACACTAAACTCTCCTCCTCTTGCATGTTTCCTCTGTCCATAGCGTTCCTTCACAGTGTCGTTTCTAAGTGACCAATTTAGTGCTACTTGGTCCCAATGGAATTTCCCATTGGGAACCTACTAGCACTAAGTTGCTAACTGGTTAGCAAGATGCTTCCGAGAAACCGGCCACAACCAAACTTGCTTGTGAACCTTCCGCATCAACAATCCCTTCCTCTTGATAATTGACCAACCACATTCACTTTATTCACTCGGTAACGTTAGGCACTACTCGGGAGTTTTCGCAAATGCAACAGTCAGAACAGTCGCTTCCCTACAACTTTAAAGACCTCAGAACAGGCAGATATTTTTTTATGTTCTCATACGGAGCATATAAGTGTCGTATGTTCTTGACTACAAGCCGCTACTTTTCCCCCACGCTTTGAACTATGCAGCTTATAACAAAGTGAGGCTTCTCTGTGGATTTTTCTTAACCACCAGGGGGGTTGGAAATGAAATAATAAAGGGGCTAATTTTCATTTAGCACAAGAACATGCTTGCAGCAGACACGACCGAGAACATATGTCCCAAATTCACACATTTTGCCATTTATTTGCCGCATTAAAGCTGCCGAACCAATGAACAGACTGGGCTCAACCCCTTCAGAGCTGAAATAAAGAGCGGACAACGCCACATCTTTCATTAAAAGCTCTTACTGCTGCGAGCCAACAAGCTAACGGGAGCTAGCATTCTTCTTCATCCCTATTCCAGGGGCTATATGTAAAGCTCCCCCTAGAGGTTTAGTTGGAGACAGTTTTGTAGATATCAGCGGCTTATAGCCCGGTGTGGCTTATATATGTACATTTCTAGTTTTTTTATTTATTTATTTTTTTAGTGGACTAGCTTACAGTGAGGTGCTCTCTATGGTCCAGAAAGTACAATAATAAATATATTCAAACCCTGAAAAGACTATTGTTATCAGTATCTCTGAAGATAGCAACCTTCTTTCTCCATTTCTTTCTCTTTCTCCTTTCCGAACCAGACAAGGTGAATGTATTTCAACCATAGAAGCTTTTACACATAAATGAAATCTGACATTGACTCACCTTAATGTCATCAATTAGAAGCATTACATCCTGAGACAAGTAGAAGTCACTTAGATCAAACACTATTGGGTAGCACACCACCGTCTTTCCCAGGATACGATAAATCTAAGAGACAGACACACACAAACACACACAGTTGCATTTGAAGATTGATGACCAATAAGTAGCTCCAAATGTATCATTGTGGGCAGCGTAGAAAACGAGCCATCAGTCCTTGAACTGAGGGAGGAGGCGACATGCAAAAGACACAAAACTACTTCTGATAAGTTACAAATAATAGTTCATCGTACATACACACAGCTGGTAGAGAAAGGATGATGAGGATTATGTCCTCTGGCATCCTGCCTTCTTCCCCATAAATGTCCCATTATAATGTTGTCTTAGCAATGTGTTTGGAGCCATAAAGCAGTTGTTCGCTAATAGCTTTGTTACACTGAGTTTATCGAACGGTACAACTTATCCTAATGTTGACCTTCATTTAGCAGACACTGCAAAAAAAAACAAAAAAAAAAACACCTGAGGTAGTTGTGTTATACAACAGAATCGTAACATTAAGAGGATAAAATCTTAAAATTACGAGAATAGAGTCTTAACATTACGAGAATAATGCGCAAAAAATACGAGAATAAAGTTGTAAAATTACGAGAATAAAGTCTTAACATTACGAGAATAAAGCGCAAAAAATACGACAATAAAGTTGTAAAATTACAAGATTAAAGTCGGAAAAGTACGAGAATAATGTCGTAATATTATGAGAAAAAAGTCACAAGGAGCATAGTCATAAAATTTCGAGAATAAAGTTGTAACATTAAAAGAATAAAGCCGCAAAATTACGAGAATAAAGTTGTAAAATTACGAGAATAAAGTCGTAACATTGGGAGAATAAAGTCGTAATATTACGAGAAAAAGTCACAACGAGCATAGTCTTAAAATTTCGAGAATAAAATTACGAGAATAAAGTCATAATATTCTTTTAACTTTATGTCTTTATTCTCGTAATGTTACAACTTTATTCTCGAAATAGAAGAAAAAAAAATCTCTAGCCTGGCCCTAATACTCCGTCGTAGTGTTAAAACGTATTAGGAGTTACATTTAAAATAGGATATGTAAAGTATGTAAATCTAAAGATCTATATCATATCTGTGTAAGTAATTCCATGTGGTGTGGACTGGGAAAAAAAAAACTTGAATGTTTTCGTGAAATCTTACAAATGAATTTCTTTCAGGAAATTTCTTTACCAACTTTAACCAGAGACTAAATTCCCGCACTTTCTTCCTTTCTCAGGATCACTCAGATTGGATTTGTAGCATCACTAAACAATAATCTGCAAGATAATAACATGGATTCATAGTGAAGCAAAAAACTACTCATCCCACTGGTGGAAATAGTTTCATTTTTATTTAACAGAATGTTTCTAACACTTCTCTCAACAGAGAGTAAAACAATTTCAAAGGTGAATTGTTTTTTTATATTGAGATTATGATTTATACTGCATCAGAAACCAGCATATTAACAAGCATTTACAGTCTCTTCGGTAATTAGTGAAACATCTTTGTTGAATTTTGAGAAATCATAAAATAATTATATTTGCTGACCTCTTTTTTTGCATTTCTCTACCAGCCTTTAAAAATGAATCTCAATTAACTGTTAAATAATGAGCAAGACCAAGAAAGGTCGGAAGCCCTTTGTGTCATCACCCTAATCTTAATATGGCTCCACAGGTTCTCTCTCAATTTAACATTCAGATTCCCACTGGCCCATTTACAAACGCTCTGTTTACTTGTGGATGGATAAAATTAAGGGATTATTTCAAACCTTAACCTTCTATATCTTTGAATAATTTTGGACTCCACTACTTCAGGCTTTGACTAGGCCAGTTTGATATAAAATACATAACAAAAAACTAAACAATGCCAAAGTAGCCTTAGCGGCATCTTGTCCTGGTGGATGTGGAACCACAGCTTTACCGAGCAGTATCTCCCCTCATTTTGAAGAAAAATGTCCCCACAGCCTGATGCTGCAACCACCATGTTTCCCTATCAATATCACCTTTTTTGGAAGCTAAAAAAAAAAAAAAAAAAAAAAAAAGAAACAGTTCCATCTTTGTTTTCTCTTCACAGTTATGCACTACTTCATGTCAGTCTGACTTTATCAGTTCAAAATGGACGGATAATTAAAAAAACAAACAAAACAGTAAATGTGTTCAATGTGCGCCACTGATGTTTGTAACATGCATATCTCATCATGTAGCAGTATGACAGCAGGTGGAATAATAAGATGTAGATTATCAACCCAATATGAAAGACTATCAGTGATTCCATCTGTATATTTAACACAATATTAGCTGTAGTATACTTAGTGGTTTTTGCTCCATACTCTGAGAATTGTATTTAGATAAATATGTGCTGCATGCATCAACGATTCCCTCTGACCTATGCAGCAAACTACTAAAGCACACATCTGTGTGCGTGTTTGTGTGTAGCTATTTGTTTAACAATGGTATAGGGAATGTCATGGGGACCTATGTCTTCATGGGGACCAAAATCCTAGTCCCCATATGGTAAAGTTTTGTTTTTTAAGTTAGGGTTAGGTATGTGCTGGTAATAGTTAGGGTAAGGTCTGGGTTAGGCCATGTGAAATGAATGTAAGTCAATGAAATGTCCCCATAAGTAATGAAAACACAACTGGGTTTGTGTGTGCATGTAGGGGGGTTTTAAACTCGATACCTTGCAGGTCCCGATGCAGCCCACTGGCCTATCTGGACGCCCACTCAAACCCAGCTTCTTGTTGACGGCTAGAAACCGGTATGCCTGTAGAAACAGAAATACCACATGAGTGTGCACAGCATTTCAAGCATCCTCTCGGCGACCTTTCTGTTCACAGAGAAAACATTGTACAGCTCCCCCTTCCATACAGATCCCTGTGATTGTATCTTTGAAAATGAAAATACCATATTTGATTGGAAATGTCATACGGCGGTATTTCATTCCACAAGGCACTGAAAGCATGAGCCGAATATCCCTCTGTCCTACCGAGACATTTTATGATCCTGCCAATCATACCCTGAAATACTGTCCACATGATAGAAAGCAGCAATGGATATTCAAGCTATGAGATGCAGCAGAGATTAATAAATGCTGCCATCAGCAGCAGACGTAGTGGACAAGGGTACACCCATGATATCAGTAGTGCAATGATGCACAGAGCATTCAGTTTTTTTGTTTTTTTTACAGTTTTCTGTCTGGCAATGTGGCAATAAGAATAATTGTCTTGATACCAAAAAGAGCCCAACAGATTTTACCTTTACAAGTGCAGCAGTGCTCTGTTTGATTTATGAATATAAATTGCTTTATTATTCATGATAGGAATTTTACAGATTATATGGACACTGCAATGGTAGAGTAGAACAGGAAAGGAAAAACAAGAAAAAAGAAAATGAATGAAAGAGAGAGGAGATAAAAGGAAGATCATGATCAAACATATTCAGTCTGCTTTATTACCTGCAAAGAGATGTAAAAAGAAAAACACAACCAGCGGATATAGTATAAGAGATACAATAAAGTAGCACCTAGATACCATTGCTGAAGTATATTTAGTATTATTTAACCTGACATGTACACTGCGATAGCTGAAGATAAGAATATGGGCTTTCTGTATGGAAGTGAATCTCTAAATACCTGGAACCAAGCACCTGTAGTTGTTTGTGAAAGTGCTCTTGTGAATTTAAAGATTATCCAACGGAAAAATGCTCAATAGTGGTTGTGAAGAGCCAAAGACCCGCCCCCCACA